GAGACAATCAACTGACTGTCTTCTCTGCTTCAACCGTACAGGCCATGACATGTTGTCTCTTCTTTTCCACTTCTTGGATGAGTGGCTGTATAAATTCAGTGCCAATGAGTTCTTTATACCCAGGGTAAGCATTCTGTTTTGATCTTTTTTCCATTTGTAGGTCGAGGCTGTTCTCTGGTAATACCGGCTCTGAATGCAATGTTACTTTAGGAAAAAAAAGGGACACAACAGATCACTTAGGCACAACACATGGAGAACTGAAATTGCTAGGGCAGAAAGACTTGAGAAACAAATTGATAAGCTTTGTTACCACAAAAAACAATTATTAGCTGCTGTTCTGTGGTAGGGGCAGCTCTGCTGCCTTCATGTTCCAAGTAGCAGTGTATCTCTTTGAGGCTGCTCGGATTCTCTGGTTTTAGATTCCATCTAAACAATGGAATATAACCCTTGTAAATGGGATTTACTGAGAATTTCTGCCAGAAGACAGAAGATATTACTGACGTATTTCTCCTCTCGCTTTCTCTGCAGGAGGTGAAAGTGCTTTACATTGACCGAATGCAATTCAAGATAAGATCAATTGGGTGAGCTTAAATGATCAGTTGAGTAATGATTATCTACTGAAAACGCACATATTGCCTCAGAGTCACCACTCTGCAATACCATGATGTGCTGGAGATCACTGCTGCTTTCTGAAAAGGGGATTGTGGACTTCCTTTTTTTTCTTCCTTTGAGGTGTTAAATGAAAACCTAGCTGTCCTACGCTCATCAGTGAAACTAATTGTAACATCTGATAAAATAGTAACAGAATTCCAACCACCTCTCTTCTTTTTGCCTTCAAAGGTGGGGAGAAGAGTTTTCTCTACCCAAACACCCTCAGGTACGCAGTGGTTCATCTGTGCATCTTTTACCTTCTAGGGGTAGGATGGGGAGGGTGGTGTCTTTTAAATAAAACTTCCGAGTTCTCCAGAGATCCAAGTATAAACACATCCGAGTGGTATCACAGGCACTAAACTTAAGATCTTGTTTTCTGCCCGTATTTTTCTTGTGAATGCATTCTTGAAACTGTTGACCCGAGCATCTGATGCTTCCTCAGCACTAGCAAAACTCAACAGTTGGCTTCCTTTTTTGTGATGCTGGGAACGCAGTAAACCAGTCTACATTCAGAATGCGTACATGGGTTTGGTTTCCACACTATCACCACAGCTTTTTGCTTAGTCAGTTATTGCCTTTTTTTTTTTCCTTCCTAAAGAATTACTAGAAGCAAATCCTGATCTCCCTGCCAGCTCTTTAGCTGGATCAGTATTAGCAAAGCAAACGCTGATGTTCTTTCACAGGGAAGAGGAGGAATTTGTAGTATTCGAGAGGCAATAAATTAAGGGAAGAGTTACTTACTATTTGGCCTAGACAAGTCTTTGCTGTTAGTATACCAACTTTCTTATTCATTGGAATAAATACAGCTTTTGGGGGAGAAAAACTGTTAAACTGGATAGCATTTGTAAAAGGTTATAAATACTTTGTATGATTAGGAGCTGCTACAAGAGACATCATGTAGAAAACCCCATGTTTTTGTGTCATTTCTCTCTAGGGCACAGAGGTCAAAGCCATAACTTACTCGGCAATGCAGATCTGTGAAGACGAGAAGCCAGAAGTCTTTGTCATCATTGATATTTAAAGCCAGAAAAGTGTGGTCGAGTGGACACGTGTCATTGGCTGGCAAAAGTCTCTTGAAAACTGTAATCCCCGTGGAAGGAACTAAGGAATTGCCCAATTCAAGTCATATGTTGAAGGGAGTAATTGCGGGGAATGTCAGCCTGTGTTTTGGCTTGAGGATGGTGAGACAGAAGTGCCTGCATGCCAGGAAAAAAGATCTCGTTGGGGTTTGGGGGGTGTTGAGAAGAAGGAAGAGAGTTGTAGGGGTTGAAAGTCTCCCAGGAATGCTAGTAGTCTGCTTTTGAGCCTGATAAATGTGTTAGGTGCGATATGAATAAGTAAATTAGTGGAGCTGCTGGCTAAAACACTATCTTTTTGTAGAGTGGCAGGAGATAATGTTAATCTACATGATTTCATTTGCAGATTTAAATACTCTAATTCTGAGGTGACATCCCTCCTCCAAATTATCTAAAGGGTCCAAAATATCTGCAGTGGGTCAGATTTAATGCAGAAAAATTTCTGACTGTTCGAAGGACACTTGAAGTATATGAATTATGAAAACAAACCAGCACACCTTCTAGAGTACTTTTAAAAATAAATAAAGTCATGCCAGCAGGTGGTGCTGAATTGCTGTAAATAAATTTCCACGTGCAATCCTAAAGCATGTGACTGTGTACATGGAATCCTAATAGCACCTATTTTCACCCTAAAAATAGGCAGCTTTCCTGCCGTGGTAGAAAGGGATGCACCGGATTCTCTGCGCGTTCCCTCCCAACCACGTCTGCGAAAGCTGATTCTCTTCTTTTAAAAAGCGTGTGACTGGGATCAGCTTCCCTGCCTTCCTCTAGAAAGGACGATACAGCCAGCCCGTCCGTGTCGAAGGGTTATGGACTTCACTGAATCAAAATTAAATCAAAAAAATAATCAACAGTGTGCTTTGTTTTAAATCACGGGGCAGCAAATGCACGCGAGCCGCTCTTGGTGTTTGAGCAGGGTAGGGTAGGGGACGGCCCGTGCTGGCCTGAGCTGCTCGTTTTATTGTGAATGCTACACGTGCCTGGCCTCTGGAGGTGGCATCTCATCTTCATTGTGTTGTAAAATCGTCTTAAATAGATCTGGTTTTATTTTCATATTGTGAAGATTTAGGGATAAAATCCCTCTGTATTTTTTGAGAAAGCTTCAATGCTGAAATAAAACTTGGACTGAAAGATTTAATGGATTTGTGTGTGAACTTTGGCCAGTTGGATTTCCAACACCGATGAATTACATTGGTGCTTTGTTCTTGGCTAAGGTGAGCAGACTTTTTTGTAAATAAGAATGACGATGGCACAAAAATAAGCATGGTTTTCACATGCTGGGTTTTCTTCCCCCCTCAGGAGGAGCCTGGGCCCGCCTGCTGGCGCTCAGAACGAACAGCTAGCGACGGGGATTAGCCAATCAGGCGTCGAGTTGCCGGTGCTTTGTTCTCCACAGAGCCTGAGGAGATGGGCGGCGGGGTTGAAGGGTGGTGGTTTGGGAGGGGTTTCTGTTTGCCTCAGCCTTCTAAAATGGGAAAAGAGAGATTTATGTAATTAAAATTTAACTTTGTACAAGCGCTGCGATGCCCTGTGTATACCATCAGTCACAGGCTCTAGTAGCACGGTAAAGTGCTCTGCTCTTAGAAATGGTGACAGGAATTTGCAAGAGAAACCTTCAGAATTAACTAAGTAAGTGTTAGTTGTCTATTTTTTTTCAATATTAAGTACTTACTATAAAATGTGCCTTAAATTCACCTTGTTCCATTTCCAGAGGTATGGGAGTGACCGGTTTCAGCTAGCAGCCTGTTACCTGGGAGAAGTCCTATTCTGCTGCGTTACAGGAGCCCCATGGCAGCTATTGTCTCTCACTGAGCTGGGGCCTGCTGAGGCAATTAACTACCTGAAGTGGTTAATTCAGGAACATACTGCAAACCCTTCTTTTCTTGCTGTTGGTTGAACAAGCTCCGTAGGCTTGCCCTCTTCTCACTTTTCCCTAGGTATCTGTTAATGGCAACTGTTGGCGACAGGGAGAACCTTGATGTCAATCAATATGGCTGCTCTCAGATTCTTTTCAGGGAATTTTTGCTTGCTTGGCAGTAACCTCAGGCTACAGATTCTGCTAACAGGAAAGGAAACAGCATAAAATGAGACATGAGACCAAACAGTGGCTCTTTATCAAGAGAACCTGCTGTGAGTGCCATTCTCTGCTTTCAGTCAGAATGTTTCTTACATACATTCTCTCTTGAGACTTTTATCATGTTAGTACTAAGCATTTCCAATTTCTCTAGCAAACGGAGATTCTCTGACCCAAATGACCGTGAAAAAAAAATATGATTGCTAAAAGAGCTGAAGAGACTCCAGAATTACGAAGTTTGCTGAAACCAAGGGAAATTGTCCTTACAAACAAATGTTTTTATGCTGACTGTCAAGCAGCCTTAAGCATCCGAAATCTATACAAGCAGGGAAGCCTTTCTAAAGTAGCTCCATGATCTAAGTCACAAGTGTCCCACAGAAGTTAAAGGGACTTGTCTACTTTATTATCTTAGCACAAGATAGTAAGCAAATCTTGCACCAATCCTGAAAAAAATGGAAAAAAACCCCTGACAACTGTACTTCCAGTGACTGTGCTTTTATTTCCTTGGAACCATGTTAGTCTATCTTTGTTTAAACTTCACCATACAAAATCACTGCATATCTGAAAAGGCAAACTTACATTATCTAAGTGCCCTATAAATGCTCTGTTCGTTACTCCACTCTGCATGGTTGTGCGTATGCTTTAAAACTAATCATGCTTTTCTGAACTGTAAGAAGCTGTAAGCTCACTCAGAAAACAAAGCTCTCGTAAATCAGTTCTTCAGCAG